AAAAAAAAAAAACTTTGTTCAATAATGCTTAATCCTAATAGAAAAAAAAGAAAGCCTAATAAAAAAAAGGCTCAATCGACCTCATCCGTTGATTCTAGTAACTTATCAACTTCAAGAGCAAATGCTACTTTTACGCGACACTTTTACCAGGACGATGAAACTGACAACACAATTATATATTGTAAGCTTTGTACTCAAGAGTTAGAAGACTTGGACGCTTCTCCATATCCATATAGTAAATCAGGAAAAAGTACAGGATATTTAATACAGCATTTACGTGATAAGCATCATATAACTTCAAAGAATTATAGACAATACCTCGATGATGATGAACAAGTAAAAAATTGTTAATCATTATAAAAATAATTAAATTTCAAACAAGGTCTTTAACTTTTTTATTTTTATTTTTTTAATAGCCCATGGCAGTAGCAGTAATCAACCAGGATCTAGAATCGATGGACACAGACTTACCTTCCCTTTCATCTAAACAGCAACGAGAATTAACAAAGCTTGTGGTAGAGTTCATCGTATATGATGTTCAACCATTATATATATTAAAATGCCCATCTTTTCGAAAACTTCTAAATGGTTTTAGATCACAATATCAAATACCATGCGCGAATACCATAAAAAAATATATTTCTGAAGCCTATTCGTGGGGTACTGACCAGCTTAAGAAATCATTATTAGGTGTCAATACTGTTAATTTAACAACTGATCTATGGACCGCAAAGAGTAACCATGGTTATCTTGGTATTACAGTAACATGGTTAACATCTGACTTTAAGCTTCAGGAGGCGCTACTTTCAAACCATCATATGCCACATCCTCATACAGGTCAAGATATTTGTGAGGAGTTGTTTTTCATAATAAATAAATGGGAGTTAGTAAATAAAATACATAATATTGTAACGGATAACGGTTCAAACATGGTAAAAGGTGTTGAGTTATTAAAAGAAAATTACTTGCCTAATATTAATTGGCAATCATGTGTTGCGCATACTCTTCAGCTTACAGTAAAAGAAGGTTTAAAACAAATTAAACCAATTCATAAATGACTCAAAAGCCTTCAGACATTTTTTAAACTTCCTAAGCAAGCACAACGATTGCATAATATGCAAATACAAATGCAATCGGATCCATTAGTAATTATCCTCTTTACAAAGATTTTTTTGAGATTACAAGCGCGCCTTTTCAAAGCAATTCTTATATCCTTAGT